TATATACATATACATATACATAAAATAACAAGAACAAATTACATGTATATGACAACCATTATACATGATATAAACAATATAGATGATATAAACAATTATACACTGCAGGTGCTATGGAAATACAAATGTATATAAAAATATTAAATATTATTTTTATTTTTTTTTGCAGGAGAACTTGCATTTGTGAATATGAAATTTTGCATGTAAAAAAAAAGATTTATCATGTAAATGTGTTCTTTAATAATACATATTTCCATAACAAAACAAAATGACTGTTTTGAATGATATTTCCTTAACCTTGTTTGTAATTAAATATTGATTAGGTATTAACCAGACCTTTTTCCAAACACTATTGTCTGTCAGTTGATTCCAATATGAATAAACATAAGGAAAAGACACAATGTCTCATTGAAATAAAGCAGAACTGTTGTGTGATTTAAGAGAAAAACAAATGTTACCTATATAAGAACTTATTACATTAGGCAGAGACCTAACAGGTAGCCTATATTTTGTTTTAGAGAATGGGCAGCCATATCACCCTGTAGCCCAAGCCTGGTTGCCCATGACTCAAAATACCCATATTTTATGCATAATTTACATAATTATACCAGATTTGTACAAAACAAAAAAACAAACAAAGCAGTTAGATTTTTTTTTTTTTTTTTAAACTGAACAAAGAGCATTTCTTATTACCTTAACATCAATACATTGATATCAACATTATCAATATAAATCAAATATGTTGATATCAACTGAATTAGACTTTATTCAAAAGTAACATAACATTCTTTGGTATCTGGCGCACTATGGCTGCCGTCGCATCATCCAGGTGGATGCTGCACACTGGTGGTGGATGAGGATATACCCCTCACAATGTAAAGCGCTTTGAGTGCCTAGAAACTGCTATATAAATGTAATGAATTTTTTTTATTTTTTTTATTATGGGAACAGTGAGTAAGTAGGGAAGGGAAGAAGATACTATTATTACTCGCATCCGGACATAGTGGGCTAAGCCAATCTTTATTTAAAATTGGAAAACATGAAACGGGCAAATGTAATTATTGTAGTCAGACAGAAACAACAGCATGTTTTACCAAGTTGCAAAAAAAATATGAAAAAGAAAGATTAGAACTCATCAAGGTAGTAAATAGAGTAGGTATAAAAACATTCAGTAAAGCCTCCTGAAAGAAAATGCAGAACAATTTAAAGTATACAGTGCAATTATAAAAATGTATTAAAGTTGGATTAGTAGGGAGAATTTAGTGTGCTTTTTCTTACTGCTTATTATTGCTCCACACTCCAATCTGGTTGGTGGCGGTAGTGCACCCAAAGTTGGTTTGCCAACCGCCATAAAACTTTATTAGAAGGAGAAGAAGAACGTGACATCAGCTGAAATAATGCATTTGCATAATTTTTTCTCTTAGCTTTGTCTTTCTTCCTGTTTCATCAATGATCCACACTCCAGCTCAGTAGGTGGCGGGAATAGATAAGCCTTCAACAAATGTTAAAAGAAAAATCTAAAATAATGCCATGCACAGAGGATAATAGTTCAAATCTATATGGACCTTTATCAAGAAAACTATCTAGTATTCAGTCTGGGAAAACATCATGTAGACAAGATATCAGATATTCAACTTGCTTTTAATACTGTATGATAAAGGACTGGATGTTTCCTTCCTTTGGGTTCCTGCTCATGTAGGTGTGGAAGGAAATTAGATTGTAGATATTCTGGCAAGAGGGTCAATAAAGCATGAAACAGTTGATATACAAATACCGTTATGTAGAACAGAAATCAAAACCATTATTAAGGGACATACAAACAAAATATGGCAAGAATACTGGGACATAACTGATACTGGACGACATCTGTATAACATACAAAAACAAGTAGGCATAAGTAGTATTCGGCAGAGCAGGAATCCATAGGAAGGAAAGATAATTACACGTCTTAGAATAGGTCATGCTGGTTTAAATTTTACATTACAGAGAATAGGAAAACACCCCACTGGTCTTTGCAACAACTGCAACACGCAAGAGACAGTAAAGCATATTTTATTAAATTGTAAAAGGTATGAAGAAGAAAGAATACATAGTCTCCTAATTAATTATTTGAAAAATACTGGGATAAGTGAAAGAATTTAATAGAAATATATAGTTTTTTTTTCTCTCGTCTCCTTCCTTTCTATCAAGCTACTGCCCACACTCCAGTCCAGTAGGTGGTGGTAAAGTTGGTTTGCCAACCGCCATAAAAAGCCAGAAGAAGAAGAACACAAGGCATTCATGTAAGTCAGGTATCAAAGGTCAAATGTATACAGGTGCATCTCAATAAATTAGAATGTCGTGGAAAAGTGAACTAAACAAATAATACAGCCTAAAAAAGACACACGTTTCTTTAAAAAAAAAAACTCTTTACTTTCGTTACCACTCTGAAGCAATTGCAATTTTTAGGGATATGGTTTGATGAAAGAGTTACATGGGCGGTGCATATTCAGAATATAGTGAACAAATGTAAGAAAATAATAAATACAATGAGGTGTTTAGTTGGAAGTGAATGGGGGGCAGATAGGATGGCATTAAAGGCCATGTATAGTGGATTGGTTAGATCTGTGTTAGATTATGGTTGTGTGGTGTATGGATCAGCAGCAGAAACATCTCTTAGAAAGTTAGATAATATACAGCATCAGGTATTGAGATTATGTACAGGAGCTATAAAAACTACACCAATTACAGCACTACAGGTTGAAATGGGGGAAATGTCATTAGAAATGAGAAGGGTACAGTTATCAGTGAATTATTGGGTTAATTTACAAGGCCATAGTCAAGAGCATCCAACACTAGATACTTTAAAGCCCTGTTGGGAAAAAGAGAGGAGGCAAATTAAAAGTTTTGGATGGACAGTGATACAGAAAGCAACAGAACTTGGAAGTTAATCAGTTAAATGTTAGTCCAACTGTCATTATATAGAATTCAAATGATGGGGATTACAGTGGTATTTGTATGGGTGCCGGCGCATATTGGTATCCAAGGAAATGAAACTGCAGATAAAGAAGCAAAAGAAGCAGTTAAAAACAACGACATTAACTTAATTTGTTAATCTAAGTAAGAATGAAATCAAGAGTATTATTAAGAAAAGACTGAAAGAAAGGTGGCAAAAACAATGGGATAAGGAGAAAAAAGGTCGGTGGTTTTACAGAATTCAAAGGAAAGTGGGAGAGATGAGAAGTGCAGGGAAAAACAGGAGAGATGAGATAGTAATATCGAGGATGAGATTTGGACACACAAGATTAAATAGTACACTTTTTAAAATGGGTAAACATGATACGGGAAGGTGTGAATTTTGTGGACAAGAAGAAACAGTGGAACATGTATTTGTCCCAACTTATCAAATCAAGACTGGTAAAAGAGTTTCTGATCAAGTAGGAGTTTACATCACAGAGATGGTAGCAATATTATTAGCTATCAGGTGGATGGGGGATACTCGGCCAATGAATGCGGTGATATGTTCAGATTAATTCTCTGAACTATATTAAGTCTTATCAGTGGAAGATCTTCAAGACAAGACATTTTGTATGAAATTCTTTTATGTATGTATAGAGTGAATAAGATAGGAATTAAGATATGTTTCCTGTGGGTTCCAGCACACGTGGGAGTGGATGGAAATGAGGTTGCGGATCATTTAGCAAAACAGGCACTGAAATGATCACATATAGAAATTATTATACCACTAAGCAAAGAAGAAGTTAAGGCTAAAATTAGAACAGCAATAAAAATGAGATGGCAAGAAGTTTGGAATAAGGAGGAGAGAGGAAGACATCTTTATCATATTCAAAATCAAGTTGGGGTTGAAAGAGTTAATTTTGGTAGTAGAAGAGAAGATACAATTATTACCAGACTTCGCATTGGCCATACTGCTTTAAATTCTTCTCTATATAAAATGAATAAGCATGAGTCTGGGAACTGTAGTCTGTGTGGATTACCAAAAAGTTTTTTTTTGTTTTTTTTTAGTTCTTCCTATTCCATCAATGGTCCACACTCCAGCCCAGTAGGTGGCGGGAATGCACCTATCGTTTGTTTACCAACCGCCATAAAACTCTGGCGCCAAAAAAGAAGAAGAAGAAGAACGCAAGGCAATAGGAAGACATGAATCTGGTCAATGTAATCATTGTGGACTTCCAGAAACTGTAGAGCATGTGCTGATTAACTGTAGGGCATATGAAAGGGAAAGAATACAGTTAAAAGAGGAATTAAAATCTGACGGCATTAATTCTATGACATTACAGAATGTGTTAAACAGTTCTCATAAAGGTTATAAAGCTCTTATTAATTTTCTGAAAATAACAAAGTTATATAATAAAATATAGGTAGAAGGTTTTTATTTATTTATTTTTATTAAGTTATTTTATATATTTTTTTGAATTAGCATTTCCGTTGACATCATCGCCTCACACTCCATCCCAGTAGGTGGCGGAATATGCAACAAAAGCTGGTTTGCTAACCGCCATTAAACATCATAAGAAGAAGAACGCAAGGCATTGTGGGTTTTTAGGACACGGAAGCTGCATAGGGACAGTAGGCGGGCATCGGAGTTTCTTTTGTTATACAACAAAAACACGCAGGAATGGTGAACTCTTGCTGTGTTATTAACTGCAATAACCGTTCGCAGGATCGGTATGGAAAACGCATTTTAAATGGAGTGCGATTTTTCAGCTTTCCAGCTTGGAAGCAACACCTTGGAAATCAGATCTCCGAGTTAACAAAGAGGCGTCGCATGGCATGGGTATCAGCCATAAGACGCAAAGACATCACCTTCGACAACATTTCCCGACACATGTTTGTGTGTTCACGGCATTTTCTCTCAGGTAAGCTATAATCAAGACACATCTAACAGCTATGTTGTTGCCGCTAGCAATGCAAACATGGCGAGGAGCTACACAGCTAACTTTGCACAACTAGCTGGCTAACGTTACATAGATACATATACTATCGGTCAAAAGACGATTTTTTTAATGGTTCTGGGAGAATCATTATGCTCACCAAGGCTGCGTTTATTTGCATTTATTTATTACTGTATAAACACAGTAAAATAATAATATTGATTACAGTTTAAAATAACTGTTTGTCGTTTCAGTATACAATGTATTCCTGGGATGGCAAAGCTAAATTTTCTGCAGCCATTACGCCAGACTTCAGTGTCACAAGATTCTACAGAAATCATTGTAATATGCTGATTTGGTGCTCAAGAAACATTTCTTATTATCTTATTCTTAATATTTTGCGTGATACCCAGAACTTTTAAACAGCAGTTTACCTAATATATATATATGTGTGTGTGTGTGTGTGTGTGTGTGTGTTTGTATGAAATCGCAATCAATCGATCAAAAGTGATGTAAAGTAACGTTACAAAAGATTTCTATTTTAAATAAATGCTGTTCTTTTGAAAATGCATCACAGTTTCCACAGAAATATTACACAGCAAACAAAAAAAGTTTCAACATTGCTAAGAACTATTATTAATAAGTGATAATGATTGAGCACCAAATCAATGTAATAGAATGATTTTATGAATTTTAAAGGATCACTGGAGTAATTAATCATCTTGCTATCACAAGAATGAATTACATTTTAAAAATATCCAATTATTTTAAATTGTAATGATAATGATTCACTTTATTATGTACAAAAGTCATGATTATTTCAAATGTTTCATTGTTAGTGTGACTAATCAAAGAAATGTTGTTTTTTCTTCTAATCAGGCAAACCAGCCTATGAAATGCTTGAGTGTCATCCTGACTGGGTGCCGTCATTACATCTCGGGCACACAGAGGTCAAAGCGACGCGTCCTGAGCGGTTTACCCGTAGGTCAAAGAGACAGAAAGCTCGCGCACAGAACAACGCTGCACCTGCAACATCACCAGCTCTACCAGACCTGAAATTGGAGATGGATGTAGATGTACCACTGATAAAAGATCCACCAGCAGATGAAGATCCACCAGCGGATGAAGATCCACCATCAAATGAAGATCCACCATCGGATGAAGATCCACCATCGGATGAAGATCCACCATCGGATGAAGATCCACCATCAGATGAAGATCCACCATCAGATGAAGCTTCACAGAGCTTACAGATGGATGAAGCTGCATCAACGTACGACCTTGAAGAACAGCAGGAATGTAGTTTTTGTAGCTGCAGACGTGCTGAAATTAACCGCTTATTAGAGGAGAACAGGCAACTGAAGGAAGAGCTCTCCCAAAAGACAATGTCTGAGGATTTTTTGGGAGATGATGAAGAGAGGGTCAAATACTACACTGGGCTGCCATGTTTTGCTGTTCTGATGGGTGTGCTGACGCAGCTTCTTCCTTGCCTACCACGGACAGGATGCAAACTTTCGCCTTTTCACATGCTCTTTTTAACTCTGATGCGCCTAAAGCTGAATCTGCCAATCCAACACATTGCACACCTCTTCTGCATAGATCAACAGACAGTGTCCACCACATTCAGAGACACCATAAGTGCAATGTTTACACACCTCAGCCCTTTGGTGCACTGGCCAGAGAGATATTGCTTGAAGGGCAGCATGTTACAACAGTTTGTAGAAGCTTTTGGCAATCATGTTGCAGTGATCGTGGACTGCTTTGAAATGAATGCAGAGAGAGCATCAAATCAGAGAGCTATAGCTCAGAGATCTTCACAAAAGCACACGCTAAAGTATCTCATTGGCATTACACCACGTGGAGCTATTGCTTTCGTTTCTAAAGGGTGGGGAGATGGTGTCAGTGACAAGTATATTATTGAGAGTAGTGGCCTTCTTGATAAACTGTTGCCTGGAGACTTGGTGTTGGCGGATCGAGGGTTTGACATCAGGGAGAACGTCGGACTAATGTGTGCAGAAGTGAAAAAACAAAAGCTGGTTACGAAAGATGCAGAGGAGACACGCAAGTTAGCTCACCTCAGGGTCCACTTGAACAGGGTGGTGGGATGTGTGCGCAGAAAGTACACCATGCTAAGTGAAGCCGTACCGGTGAGCATGATCGCCCCATGTGAAGACGAGGACATGATGTTCCTTGACAAGGTTGTGACTGTGTGCTGTGCCCTGACTAATATGTGCCCCAGTGTTATGAAACTGTAAACCATGACATGAACTGTACACATGACATAAAACAAACTCAATGTGAACTGTATATTCTTCATTACTTTGTCACGTTATAATAATAAATGATGAAAAAGGACTACAGTTTTGTATCTCTTTATTTGTGTAATGCTGAAGTAAATGTGTACAGTCCACAGGAAAAAAATTCAAGTAAAAGTAAAGCGACAGTGTAACCAAGTACTGACAACAGAGATTAAAAGGCAATAAATAAGTTAAATGCAGAATGTACAATAAAAAACTACTGAAAAGTTTCTAGTGTTAATGTAGTGCATAAATACAACGGGTACAAAATACCGTACAAATACATAAATACAACAGGTAAAAGAGGTAAAGTAGCAGTACAACCTTCAAGGACTGATGGTAAAAATTTATACAAACACTGGTTAAATGCACAATGAACAATGAAAACCTACTGCACTTAAATGGTCACAGTGTTAATGTAGTGCAAATACAACAGGTAAAGTGGCAATGCAACCTTCAAGTTAAGCTAAATAAATTATTAAATTATGCTCATCATCTGACTTATTCTGCAGCTATGTCTTATAAATTTGACTACAAAAATCACCAACACTGAATTCAGTTTTTTTTTTTTTTTTGCTTTTATTAATACAACAGGTAAAGTGGCAATGCAACCTTCAAGTTAAGCTAAATAAATTATTAAATTATGCTCATCATCTGACTTATTCTGCAGCTATGTCTTATAAATTTGACTACAAAAATCACCAACACTGAATTCAGTTTTTTTTTTTTTTTTTGCTTTTATTGTGCACAGATGACATGAAATCTTGATTTGAGTTTAAATTATTTTAGTACCTAAGTTGGTGCAACAGTTTTTCAAGAGCAAAAATGTCTGGCGTTAGTCACAAGTACACACTGTATCATTCATTTCTAGGCATGTTGATCAAAAAATCAAAGTTGATCAAAAGTAAAATGTCTGTAAATTAGTAAGAGAGTCAGACCACCAATTATGTGCAAAGAATACAGATCTTCACAGTTTATTAGAGAAAATGGGGGAGTTAATAACAGGAATAACTGATCATATGAATGTTGTCTGTTGTCAAGCCATTGTACACTAGATCTGAGAATGAAGAAGTGCTGGTAAAAAAACTCTACAATAGTAATTTGCAGTCAGTCTGCTTAAAGCCTTCTTTGAGCATAGCTAACTAATTGCAGTAGAGAGATGCTAAGATCTTAATACTGATGCTGATTTTGTGAAAAATGTATGTTACCCTGCAATAGTTCTTATTGCTTATTGTAAATGCTGTTAACAGTGAATATAGTCACAGGGGGAGTGTGGCAAATTGTTAAATAATGGCAAAATTATATCTAAATGTGACAAAAAGTTCAAATAGGAAATCAAAGCACACTGGTGTTTTGTCACCGAGTCTTTTTATAATTACTCTCAGATCTATTTAACAGGTTTAAACTGCTGTTTATTTTTCATGCCGACTTGCTGCAACACTGATGAGCATCTGAGTCAAAATCAACAGTCTTCTAGCCCAACCCGTTCTCATCAATCTGCGTATAAATAACACGACTTTGGCTAATGTCAATGGTACCCTAGCAGCTGTGCTAACTGAGCAGCCCACTGTTCCATAATTTGAACGCATATGCTGTCATTTTAACACATGACCCCATGTAACGTGATGCAGAAACACTGACATAATTAAAATAATAACGTTAACCACATGATCTCATTACAAAAAAAGATCGTTGCCCTTACCTTTTTGAAGGTGTACACGCATCAGGTGAACTGGACGAACTGCGCCTCGCTGGTGACGTCACTGTCGCTGAAGATGACGCGTGGTATTTGTACGCATCTGCTCTCCACCGAAGTTAATGTGAAGGATTGGCGTATCATATGCACGCAAAACTGGCATTTGGCGTATGCATTACACGCAATTAGAAAGTGTAAAGTCGTGTTATTTATACGCAGATTGATGAGAACGGGTTGTCTAGCCACGAGAAGTCAAGACATGATCAACAGTTACTACATCACCTTGGCTCTCTGATGAACTTTTCAAAGTGTACTTTGTTTTCATTATGTCTTACAAAGATGCTCTGTCAGCTTCTACTTTCACACCAGCACCTGTTAAAATTAAGTTGGGAAAATAAAAAAGTCTTGAATGCAAAACTATTGAACTGGGATCATAAATGGGGATATGTTCTGCTTCAGATGTCAAGGATTTCATGAAAACACTTGTTTACTGAACTTTTTTGAGGTTTTTACCCTGACAAAAATGTTTGATTAAAGCTTAAATTCATGGTACATTATCCTCTCAGAATTATTAAAAACATCACAAGATTTCTTGCATGAAGATATAAAATAACAAAAAGAAACACTTAACTCTTAACACTTAACACTTTACTTGTTCTTCCTAAATTCAAGTGGTTTAGATTTGGCTTTCATCTAGACTTTTTTTTTATCTTAATGGTTGAATAGTTGCCATTTATTATTAAATATTTTATTTTACAAGTTTAAACATTTCACTAAAATAGGAAAAGGCAATATATTAATATAAATACAATATAATTGCACTTTTGTTTTGTTTTTTAATATAAGCGCTATTGCCTCTCCAAACACTAGAGGGCCTTCTTCCGCTACCAAACAACAGCAACTCCCCAAAGCTTCCTGCATTCTTGCCCTGAGTGTGAAAGCCCACTTCTTCATATATGCAGGTAGGAAAGCTTGATGGGTAACTTTAAACGTGCTGGTGACTTGTGTAGATAATTGTATTGTCTTCCTCGTGTGGGATTTCCAGTATTCTACAACGGTTGTTGTTTGGTTATGTAGGTATCGATTATGTGTGTTTCTTGCGTTTGTATTTTATTGATCAGATATTCGCGTCATGTACATAAGTTAGCCTAACGTTACCTAAAGCATGATAATAAAAATCTCCGAAACAAGAATACAGATGGTTTCACGCGGTCACTCTTATAGTAGCTGATCTGAAATAGTATCTGTGCATATGACTGACTTCTTTCTCTGTCTGCACTTACATCTATTGTTTCTTGTATGTTTTACAGTCTTTAGTCATGAAAAGCTCGAAAGAAGCTGTGCAGGCTGCTGCCAAAGTATTTCTTAATTTTGTCAATAAGGGAGTTTCACCTTACCATGGTAGGAATGACATGGGATTGAAATGCTGTATATTGACTATGTAAATTGTATTGAAATACATAAATTCCACTCTTTTTTAAAGTTTGAGCTACACTTTGTTGATAATAAGATTAACTAGCTTTACAGTCTGACTAGATATGGCTCTTGGACATTGTTCTTCACTGGCTGATAGAGCTCCAGATATGCACAATAGATCTTGATCTAGACTTTGAAAGACTGTTCTTATACTTTTTCCCTATATCACAGGCTTTATGTCACTGTGATGTAAGCATTGTACTGGAACTTGCATGAGTTTAATTGTATGCAAGTTAACACTTTGTATATCTAACGTTACCTTCTTCTGTATGTCTTTTCCTCCGTCTTTCTTTGTCTCACAGTGGTGGAGGAGTGTAAATCTCGCCTGCTGCAGGCTGGTTTTACTGAGCTCAAGGAGGCTGAGCATTGGGACATTAAACCTGCCAGTAAGGTAAGTGTGCACTTTAATCAACACATTTATCTTCAAAATTAGAGTTTGCTGAAAATCCAACATGTTGATGAGATTTGGAGAAATGTAGCATTACATCACTTGCCCATCAGTGGATTCTCTGCAATGGATAAAAACATCACAATAATCCACATGACTCCAATACATCAATTAGCATCTTGTGAATTGAAAAGCTGTGTGTTTGTAAAAAAAAAAAACGAATCCATCAAGCTGTTTTAACTTTAAATTGTCACCTCTATACTAAATAACATAATCCATAATAACACTCCAGTGCAAAAGTTAATCGCTTGTCCACTCACATCAAAACATATTTCGAACGGACTATTTTCACAGTGCTTGATTTGTGCATATTTCTCTCCTCATTCAGATGAGATAAAGTTTTAACTGGAGAAAGCAATATTATGGATTGAGGACTCGGTTTTAAGTTAAAAGCATTGTAATGATGGATTTGTTTATCGCAAACACTCAGCTTTTCACTTCACAAAACATTAACTGATGAACTGGAGTCGTGTCAATTACTTGTCTATTAATGTGATACTTTTATACAGCTGGAGGAATTACTTTAAAAGTAATATTATAATAGTGCATATTATAATAATAATAATGATAAAATATCTTTGGCCATATGTAGCTTATTGTGTTCTTTTTATACAGAATGAGAAACAACTCCTATTAAATATTTTTGCACTGTAGTCACTGTAATCTTTTTCTGTCCAGTATTTTGTAACCAGGAATTACTCCACCATTATTGCCTTTGCTGTCGGCGGTCTCTACAAGCCTGGAAATGGTTTTTCCATGATCGGGGCTCATACGGACAGTCCATGTCTGAGGGTGAGAAGAACAGACACAAGATGCCCTGTGAAAGGGCTTTGATATAGATCAAATATATCATCAGTTCTCTGAGTGTTCCATAGCTGTGTGTAGTAATTAGATTATAGCAGTCAGATCACTGTATTCCACATTAACGTTCGTAGAGGATGTATTCGGGTATCATTCTTAATTTCTTGTGTGTGTGTTCTCAGGTGAAGCCACGTTCTAAGAAGACAAAGTTGGGCTTCTTGCAGATAGGAGTGGAGTGTTATGGAGGAGGAATATGGAACACTTGGTTTGATCGTGACCTGACCATCGCAGGTCGTGTAATGGTTAAGGTAAGCCTCTGTGATACAGAAATGTCAAACATATACAGGTTCCTTCATTGTTAATGATCTTTAGTTATATATGAATAACACTCACTTTTACCAGTGTTGTCTGTTTGTATATTTTTATTCAGAGCGAAGGCAAGCTGGTGCAGCGTCTGGTTCATGTTCCCCGTCCCATCCTCAGGATCCCCCATCTGGCCATTCACCTTCAGAGAGACATTAATGACTCGTTTGGACCTAACAAGGAAAACCATCTGTAAGCATGTATCTAGGCATAGGAAAGGACAGATTGGAGGTACAAGACAGATGTGTATAATCATGTTGGAATGCTGC